GGGGGGGGGGGGGGGGGGGCAGGAAAGCAGGTTTTAGGGCAACTGTAGATGAGTGATTTTTTTAATTTTTTTTTTTTTTTTTTTTAGAAGATGCATAAACAGGTTTTACCAGGTTGACAGAATAATGTGACTAAGGACATGCAGATTTTTAATGTAAGATATGTCTTGTCTGTGGCAAAAGGACATTTTCTGCAGGAATGAAAGAACCAGAATTACAGTAAGACTGCTGTATATGCAGTTTATAAAGAGCCACAATTTCTGAAGCTTCAGCAGAGTCTGTAGATAGCCTCTAGCTGTAAAGTGCTACCTCCAGCCTTTCATGGTAATATTTCATGTCTGTAAACATGCATGTGATGCATTTTGATGACTGGAATCCAGTTCCTACTGGAATTGGAAGAAAACTTTCACTGTAGTTTTGCTGGCTGTGCTACTTTTCAACTGCCAAGAAGAGATGTCTTGTGATCAAAAAAAACCCCAAACAAAACCTTCTTTCCTGCCATAACCTCTCAGTTGGAAATCTGGCACTTGACTACAGAACATCCTGAAAAGCAAAATATGGCTATTTAAAGCCATGTAAGTTTTGAAGCGTGTAGAGAATAAAACTCCAGTATTTTCTGCAAAGATACTATATATTAGTTGGGGTTTTTTTTTGTTAAAGTACAAAGAAACTTAGTACAAATATAGAGCTTCAGTTCCAATTTAGTTTTCACCTTAACAGAGGGGAGACTTTGCACCACCTTAATTTGGTTCAAGCCCTGGATCCTGCAAAAACCATTCAATTGTCCTAATGCATTCATGCTTATAGTTTTATTTGAACGCGCTATAACTTGGGTTCAAGATCCATTTTGATGAGAAAGAGGCTGTGGTTGCTGTGCGTTGTAGTTTGCAACTGTGAAAATTGAATGAGTATAATTTTGTATCTTTCCATTTTTTTCTCTGACTTCACTCTCCCACACTCTTTACCCATCAAATTCAAGTGAAGTACATTGATGTTATGCCAAGAAATATTTGTACTTTTAAACTTCTTGCTTTCTTTAGATCTTAACATATTTTCCCTTCATTTTTGCTGTTAGAATTTTACATACTGTTTTTAGCGAATTGAAGTAAATTAAATGGAGAGAAATGGTACCTTGAGCTTGCTGAATCTAGTGCAGGAACAATTCTCTGTCAAGCTGTCTCTTAGCTATCTGGCAATATCTTTTCAAGTAATAAAATGTGTTTATCACTTCAACAGCATGTTTATACTTGAGTTTTAAAACCTACTCTGTATTAAAAATTCTTTCATTTGAGTAACATGGTTGCTGTCTAGCAAACTGCCTGTCACTGGTGAATTCCCTGTTTGAATTTTACATGCTAATTAGGGGTAATGTTGAAGAAAGGTGTTATTTCTTGCTTATAATGTAGAGAACCCCCCTGATCTACACACAAATGTTGCTTTTATGAACCTGAACCATGTCAGGCTGCGGAATGCGAAGTTAAGAGAGAAAGCTTTTGTACAGCTCTGCTGTTACTTTCATAGTGCTGTTTGCCAGGGAGACTCACGTGTTACACTTCAGAGGCTGTGCAGAGGAGGCTAGGGGCCAGATTCTGATATGTTACTCATGCTGAGAAGCAGTTTCTTTCAGGAGTAGTTCCTGGAGTAAAGGTTGTCTTACTACTGGTTAAAATAGTAATTTTTGGATGGATAATTGCCTCTGTTGGTGATGAAGTGGCAGTGCACCAATGTACCTCTGTCTCTGACCTCCCTGAACTTTGCAGATACTATTGCTTGCAGAAGTCTTATCTGAGATGAAACACTATTTTTTCCAACTACGGTCTAAAAGCAGAAGTGAGATTAAGTTGAACCGGTTATTGATTCATAGTACTGCATTTTGCTTCCAATAATCCATCTATGTTTGATGTAACACAAGTGAGAAGTGCCCAGAGCAAAGCATTTCCTTACTGTTAATAGTGTAATGAGAAAATAATTACATGATTTTCACTAGTAAGTATGGTACTTTATATGTGGGTTAATTATTTAAAGGATAAAAATGATTATACTGCACATACCATGCTCATGGCTGCCTACTGAAGATTATTTTAAAACACAAGTATACGCATATTGACTATAACTGCTAGGTGCTGTTACAAAGATGGAATAGAATTTTTGCCACGAAATAGATACACTTGAAATGAAAAGAAAACTTAATTACTGTATTTAGCTTCTATGTTGGATAGAAATTTTTAACAAAACAAGAAACAGTTTGCCAAGAAAAAAAGATGAAACCTGAAAAGTGTTAAAAAAGAAATATTTGGGGGAAAAACTGGATTCAGGGCATAAACATGATAAATGGTATGCTTGTTTGTTTGTTTTAAACTTTGCTTGGTAATCTAAAAGAGTTATTCTGATAACTCTATTATACTTAAAATACAGTGATTTTTAAAAAAGTCTTGCTTGTACTTTACTAGCCAGTAGACTTTACAACCTAAACTAAATCAGTCTGTCTCTCTTTACAAACTACTGCTTGCTTAGGACCAAAAGATAAATTGGAAATGACTTCACTGTGTTTGAAACAATTTGTTTAAATCTGGGTCCTTCTGCAGGGATTTCCAGGGCTTCATAGAGAAGGGATTCATGAGTTGTAGCCCGAAGCATAAGGACCAATACAATTGGAGTCTTGGGTCTAAAGAAAGTCCTTAAATGAAGTCACCAGGAGGACTGCAGAGAGGATATAAGAGTATGATAATCTGACTTTCAACAGTCCCACTAGTTTTAGTTCAGAGAATTGCAGTGAGGTCTTTTTCCGAAGACAGTGCACCCATGCCTGTAGCAAATAACTGTCGTAATACTGTGTTTCAGTGAGGCTTCTTCCAGTGTTGCAGTAGGATGTATGGCAAGTCCACTCTGAGCCCGACATGAGATGCACTAATGGCAGTAGGAGACAGTGTAAATAATCGATGCTGAAAGAAGAGTGCAGAAAATAAGTGTAATTATTTTATTTTTAGGGGAAGTGGATGTAATGGCCGTGTCTCATGGTTTAAGCCTGCTCTGTGTCTGCCATTTAAAGCAGATTTGGAAACTCTTATTAGTCAAGATCTTCTGTCCATAGCTTGTCGCTTGTGTGTAAAGTCTTCATTTTTGAGGATTTCCATATTAGTTTGTTCTGGTTAATAGTAAATAAAATTGTCCATTCAATTCCCTGTGATGAGTGCAAAAAATAAGGTCTTCTGCTCATTGCGCTAAAAGATACTACTCACATTAACTGCACTTCATACACCTCCTGAGACCATTTCAGCACTTTAGTCTTTACATTTTTCTTCATCCCTGAGATTTGTGGAGTGGTACAAACCAGCCCATAATCTGTCTTGGTCATCAGCTCAACAGGCTTCCCTGAGTTTTCAATCATTTCTTGTGACTGACAGCAGCCCTATATCCAGGGAAGTCCTTAAATAAGATTTATTTTTTTAGCCTGTACCCTGTATATGCAGAAGCTTCTATGAGAAAGGGGAGCCCACCTTATCCCTTTTACCTATGTTAGGAAAGCCACAGTGCCATTATGAGAACAGTGTCTGTTGTAATATAAAGCTGCAAAATGGACCCAGAAAAGGCAATTACTCAATGTTCAGGGCAAAAATAGGAGAAGAAAAAGGGAGGAGGCAGCAATGGCACAACCAAATCACTTTCCTTACATCCACTGGAGATTTTTTTTTTTAAGTGCATTTAGATGAGAGTTTGGAATAGATAGTTACACATCTGTGTTTAACAACCGGGAAATAAATGAAAAAGAAAATTATTATTTTAGAACTATATTTATTAAAACACTTTGAATTCTATACATAACCATAAACTTTACCAGCTTCACTTTTTTTAGTATTTTTTGATGTATTAGTGGTACCTGAATACTTGTAGTTCTTGGTATCTCTTCCCTGGCTATCCCATGTGCATTCATTGTAGCTCCTGTTTTCATTGTTCAGGTAAGTAGCACAGCAGGAGCAATTAAAGGGAAATAATATCTTCAATGTGTCTCAACCTACCCTGCTCCTGTAGCATTCTCCACACATCTGTACAGCTCCCAGAGCTTTGGGGATGGTGTGTTTAATGTTCACTGCTGGTTTTGACTGCCACGGCATGAAAAGCCACAGCTCTTCTAGCAGTCTCCTGAGACACCCACGATCACAGCATCCTTAGTAAATGGGGAACAGGGGCACTGGCAGTGCTGCTTTTACAAATAGATTGAGATCTCATTGCTTAGCATTGTTTCAGAAAGGTATTGCCTGTAGTAGTTGTGGAATAGAAGTAATAAACAGTTACTCTACTTTGTGGAATGAAAATATACTTGTATAATGTTTGTCAGTAATGTGACATGTATATCTTCCTACTTAATAAGTGATAACAATGTATTAATTGTAACTATTTTGCAATCCTTTAGGTGGCTATAATAGCGGGAAATTTTGAGCTTGCTGAATATATCAAGAATCACAGGGAAGCCGATATTGGTAAGCAAAATATTTACAGACACTGAAAACAAGCTATACGTGTTTAAGGCAGGATTTTGCAAAGATATTAAATCTGATTCCACGCGAGATATGACTGATGACAGTGTCATTTAAGGGAGATTTTAAAAGTAATTTTGCTATAAAAAATGAAGACAGAGAGAAAGCTGAAAGGATTTCAAAATATGTTCTGAAAAATGAAAATTTGATAAGTAATTCAAAAGAGTGATAGATGCTTTGTAAGTGTAAATTAATTAGACAGTTTGTAACAGATTAAATACACATCCACATACCTGCAAGAGCCAAATTGGCTCTTGTAGGCTGTCTTGGCATCAGCCTAAAGTAGCTCTCTCAAGTAGGAATAATTGGTCAGAAGAAGATAAAAAAAGACGTTTCTCCACAATTGAATGAATAGATGGCATAAAGTGTCTAGCCATATCCATAAAACGTTTCCTCTCACCAAGCTTGGTGTGTGGCATTGGATGAAGTCTAGTGACAGGTGTTAAGGGCCCTTGACAAAATACCTTAAGGCTTTTTAAAGATCTTTTTACATAGAATGTTTTGCCATTAAAATGAAAACCATTTTCAAATGATAAAAGCGATTTCTAACACAGTTCAATTAAAATTAATTAAAATGCTTTAATTCAGCTTAATTAAAGTTGCACCGAAACAACCTGCAGTTGAATGATAAAAGACATTCCTTTTGAAACAGGAGGATCTATGTATTTGTCCACACTGATTTAACTTAGTGATGCAAATCTATGACTTGATAGTATCCAAGTTATGTGGAAAAGTAGGCCAGCTCACATGAAACTAAAGACTGTGAAAGAATTGGTCTGAATTAAGGCATCCTTTCCATTTCCATTCTTGGTTGCATATGATCTGCAGGGATGTAGCTGAAAATTCTGCACGGTAACATGAATTCTCGTAGCACTGTGATACTTTTAACTCCTTGCAGTATGCATTGAGAAATCTGAGGACACATTGCATAAAAGTTTTGCATGAAAGTCATAACTTCTGCATAAAAGTTCATAGCGAATTTGGAATTTTTTTTACCTGAGATAGTGTGATAATTCCTTTCCATGTAAGAAGTCTTCATCTTTCTGTGTTTACAAACAATCTGGTGTAAAAAAAATAACTAAAAATGAACCAGATATTCCTAATAGGGTGAGCATCTTATTGTTTGTATTTACATATGACTGATGGTTTTATAACTTTGTGAAGATGTTGAAATGGTTGTTTAGAGTCAAGTGTTCCCTTACTTTCTGCCATGTTAATTCTTCATAATTTGGCTTGTGAGTAGAGTCAGTGCAAGGCATGTACTGTATATAGTACAATATACAGTATTATGTTTTATGTTTCTCTACGTGGATTTTGTTCCCTTAAAAATGGTTGTGTACAATAAAATAAAAAAATAGTAAAGGAATGACTTGCTAGTATTAATTATGCATACACACAGTATGAGTAACTGTAAAGTAAAAGTAACACTTATAGTACACTTACAAACAGTAGCCTCTAAACCGGTTTTGTAAAACCACATTGATGTTAATGTCATCATGTTTTGAACTGACCAGTTCTACCAGTTCTGCACTTTTTTTCTTTCCCTTGGCCAGTGCGGGTTCCAAGTTATGTCAGTGAGTGGGAGAAGTGAAATGTAGTTATGAAGTAGGTGGATGAGACTCAGTCTAGAAGACAAGTGATAGCCACGTGCCTGAGGCTTTAAGCACAACCTATTATTGATGACTTCAGAAGTCTTTATGTAGGATTTGGTGATTTCTAGAAAAATGCTTAGAAAATATTTTGTATGGGAAGATTCTCCAAATTTTCTTGATGCCTTCACTTTTCCACTGAGAAGTAGAAATACTGATGCTTCCATGATTGGCTTAATTTTTTTGCAAGATGGTGGTGGTTTGTGCAAAGCTATTTAAATTAGTAGATTTGTCTTAAACAATAAGCATTATGTTATATTGTTTCCTCCCAGCTAATTTAATTTAGCCGGACATTGGTCCGTTAAGATTTATTACTTAAAAAAAAAAAAAAAAAGTGAAGTCATTGAAATGTCTTTCTGGAATGTCTCAGTGTAAAAAAAAAAAAAAATAAAAAAAATAAAAAAATCAAAGAACAATATCCGGAGCAGAAAACCTGAGAGCTAGTATGATGGTGAATGTGCAGAATAATGTCAGCACTTGAACTTCAACAAGTTGGCTTTTATTTATCTTACTTGTCTGGTTATCTGCTATATTCATGTAATTTTGGATGTATTCCAACATGTATCATTTGAGTAATGTATCTTCTTAGAGCCGAGAGGCAACAGAGTGGGAAGGAATAGCAAAGAGCTTGAGAAATATCCTCATGAAGATAAGAAAGACAGATCATACTATGAAGTCTCTTGAGAAACATTTCATTTTTGGTCCCTCAGAAAGTGTGTTTTTGGTTAGATATTGAATTTTGATATTGAACCAGATCATAAAACTTTATTATTATTTTAGACTTATTTAATTGCTGTAATTATTTTGTATTTTGTAAGTATTTTAGACTCATTTAATAATTAATAAGTTACAACTGTAGGAAATTCTTTGGAATATGTCCAGCTTTGGGTGGGTCTCTTTTCTATGGAGGTTTATGCTGGTAGATGATGAGCTGTTCAATCATTTAATAGTAAGCTTGTCAATAGTATTCATGATTATTCGCAATAATATTAATTGGAAGGAGACAGTGGTGATGCATTGGGAAAAACTCCATGTTGCTCTTGATTCATCGGGAAAAAACTCCACATGGCTCTTGGAAGATTTCTGACCTAACCTTTTAACTTTGAGTGATTATGCACAGTATCTTTAGCTATAGATATTTTCCAATGAAAGCCTAATATACAGCTAAATGATATATGTGGCAAATAATATTTTTTTCAGAAATAAGTTACCTACTTTCCTAGGTGTGTCATCTTAAGGGTGAGAAAATTTTAATTGGTAGTAGTGATTGGAGGCTGAACATAACAGTAGTTTCGTGAGCAGGTTTTATCTGGTGACAGAAACAAGTTTTTACATTTCTCAAACTGAAGTGTCTGAAAGATGAAAAATAATATTTGCTTGCAATCTCTAATCTTACATAGTGAGGAACTACACTATCTGTGTCCATCTGTTTTGACATGTGCTAATTAACATTATTCTTAGATAATTTTGTTGTCCCAAACTATTGCAGTAGGAAGTCACTTGTACTCTCAATGCAGAAGGTATTATGTGGGTGTCTTCCAGTTTGTCAGTAGTCACAAAGCTGTTTCAAGTAATGTTGCCAAAACTGCAATTAAAAGGATCTAGCAGCAGTAATGTAGTGCTTGTGATTCATGGTCCTGTGCCGTGCGTTGTGGTGAATGAGCTGCTTTGTTCAGTGGCAGAGATCATAGCTCAGCCTCCCCGCAGGAGGAGGGTATCGCTGCCTGCGGAGTGAAGGGATGAGTTGGCAGCGTGCCAACAGCAAAAGCACTACATCTCAATGTGCTGGTCCACAAGAGCTCCAACATCAAGAAATATATATGCTTAAGTGCTCAGTATATCACTTATTATCTATTCCACCTTTGCCTGCCAATTATATTTCATCAGCATTTAGAGTAGAACACCATTTTAAAGCCGCACGCAAAGTCTGGGATCGTTCAGTTAAGAAGAGGCTGAATTGCATGTCTTAAAGGGAGCCTTTTTGGCCTTTTTTTTTTTTTTTTTTTTTTTTTTTTTTTTTGACTGTAGTGCTAAGACTATCCCCATTGTAGAAGGTGATGGAAAACCAGCTCAGGTGGAAAATGACCAGGGTATCCTCTAGCAGTAGAAAACTCTAATTTGCAGCAGAACTACTAAATCTTCGTTCTACAGATTAAATCCCACAGAGATTTTTCTTCCTTTTTATTTAATTAGAAAGCACTTATGTTAGACAAATGTGTTAAAATGATGAAAAACTAGACATGTATAAAATAAGATTCTATGCAATAATCGTAAGACTTCAAACTGTGAAAAGAAGAAAAATGCAAAAATACCTGTTTTAGAAACAAAAAAGGAAAAAATAATGACCCATGGAGTAGTGTGACATCTGGCTGTAAGAGAGGGATGTTCTTCTAAGGTGTGATGTGTCTGGTTATCTCACCCACATCTTGCCAGATAAATGCACCTACTTAAGGCCGGTGTGAGTATACATGTTTAGTCAGAGAGGCAGAGTCTGTGTTTCCCTTTTACAGAAGCAAAATAGATTAAAATTGTATCCAAACCAGAAGATGTAGGTGCCATTGGAGTCCCTACCTAGTCATCTGAAGAGAGGAGACTTTGCCAGTAAAGTCTCAGCTACATAAAATTGTGTTATAAAGGCCACTCCGTTGAGTAAGCTGAGGGTGTTTCAAGACAGATAAGGTCATTTAGGGTTTTAAAACCATCAGGAGGGATCAGAGCTGGTAGATGTATCCTGAGGCAGCTCTGAGCAGCAGAAGATCATGTACCTCAGTGGTCTTTGCAGAGCAACAATCTTCCCTCCCTCCACATCAGTTCTTCAGTCTGGAGGAGCCTGATTTCTCTCACATCCTCATTCTGGATGGGTGCAGCTCTCCATCTCTTGGATGATTTCACAGTGGAGGCTCATGGTGAAACAAGGGGTGATCCATGAAAGGGAGCCTGGCAATTCAAACCTCCTGTTCTCGTGATTGATCTGCAGTGTGTAAACGTTCAGGCAAGGTTGCACTAAGCAGTTCTGTTTCCTTTTGTCTGTAAGCCCTTGTGTCTCCCAGCAAACGAGTTTTGTAGAACATTCTCCTTGGCCACAATACCAGAATGAATATCTGTTGGTTGTTCTGTCCTATTAAAAAATTTGGCCTTTTCCTCTGAAAGTTCAGAACTGTGTGGGTTCTCTCACACATGCTGTCCCTTCTTCTGTCAGCAAGTTGATTCTTCCTTACCTTGCTCCTTTCCCCACCATCAATTGCCAATTTATCTTTCCATGGCAGGTAGTACATTGTATCAGGTGTCTGGGTG